TAAGTTCACAACACCAAGTGCAGAACCCGTCTTTGGATTAACTTTTTCTTTCTTAAAATAAAATACAGACTAAGCCAAAGAATAAACCAAAAGACAATAAGCTTAAATTCATGTAGACAAAGAGCTAGTATTTTTAGTAGTGTTTCTAAGAATCATGAAAAAGGTTGCAGTGAAGGCCTAGAGCGTGTATCACACTGCTGGTATTTATATAAAGAGGTTATTTTTTTCATTATTTTGCTGCTTTGTTTGAAGTTCAAAGTCGACGTTCTTGCAGGAACAAGCAGGAACCACTGTTGTGTCATTGAATTGAGGTAAATGTGTTGAATTTTCTTATTAAAGTGCAATGCCATTCAGTTTCAGGTAGAAAAGAAACCTGGTGTTCAGTGGGATGGTATCATAAAGCCAATTGAAAATTCTTTTGGGTTCGGACCACCACCTAAAACAGACCCTGAGGTAAGACCCTATTCAGAACTCAAGGACAACAAAATACATAAATAGTAACCGTAAATATTTACAGATTTTTAATTTGATGTTGCTAATTAAATCTGAAATAATCTGAAAACATAACTATGAAAGCTGTGCACACGTACATACTGTATGTGTGTGTTTCAAAACAGGATGTGGCAGTTTACTACAAATATTTAAATGAGAAATTTAGCTTGAAATGTTGTTTCTTATGTTTTCCAGGAAAAAACAAATGAATGAAAGCTGACACACGGCAGAGGGCTCAACAGTCCTAATGGAGAAGCACCAGTGTCAGCAATGAGGAATCATCCTGTGATTTACTCCTTCTGCTACTGCTTCCTTTGATTAAAGATGTTATTAAAACCATTATGTGAAAATGTCCTTTCATTTACTGATTTGTTTACTTTAAGGTCAGTTAGATCAGTTTAATTTGAATAATTTATCCCCCATTTAACAAAACTGACACCCACTCTTACAAAACGAGTTACTACAATTAACAAAGGACACAACTGGCAATATATATGTTTTTCTTATTTTCAACAAAACAAATTAGTAGACAAAAACAATGATTTGATCCTACTAACAAGTACTGTCTGTGTTTAGAGCCTATAACTTCGACTCAATGCCACATATACTGTCCTTGTGTGAATACTCACTAAAGCACCAAATGTGGATTAAAAACAGCCCCTGAAAGTTAGTCTACATGAGTATTTCAGATAGTATTCAGTGTGCTGTATATTTAACATTGTAGGATTGTTGCTTAAACATAGGTTACAGAACCAGACTTGAGATTGAAACAACTTTGACTTCAATGAAGAACTGAGATGGACATTTTTTTAAAACATTTCCCAAGAATCACTGATACAGGTGGAGTACTAGTATCACACTGCTGTTTCTATAAAACGGGTTTATTGATTGATTATTTGGCTGCCTCTGTCGTAATCGTATGCCAATGACCCTGCAGAAACAGAATAAACAGAAAGGTTGTGTCTTTGGTTTTGGGTTGTGTTTTTTTAATTCAAGTGAGCTATATTGTAACTTCAGTGGTCTAAAGGAGGCACAGAAACAGGTAGGTGAATAAAGTGACAGTAATTTACAAGACCAGTCCAGTCCAGGAGATCCCAGAGGGGACTTCTGTAATAGAGGCTGACTAGTTGCTAACCTGACTTTACCAGATGGTTTGATACACAGAACCACCAGGTAGGCATTGTTGGAAACGTTTGGAAAAGAGCAGGCACTTTCACTTACAGTAAATTCTGAAATAATTCATTATTTTCCTTCAGGTAAGTGGCACCCTTTTTGAAAATGAGGATGGTTTTTCACCTAAACCAACTGTTGGAAATGTGACCCAGGTAAGAAACTGTTCTGTACTCACCACAATTAATGTTTTTGAGATGATGTTACCAGTAAAATAGCATTAATTTATAATACATTTGGGGTGCTGAGTCCTTGCTGCAGTGGCAGTGGGTTCAACTCCTACCTCTGTGCCCCCCCCCCTTCCTGTTACTATGAATTAAAGACAATAAAAGCTCAAAAATCGAGCTTCTGCCACTACATTGCCTATTTATCACCTCAAATGTTGTCAGAAACAAATGTCAGCATACTGATCCAGTACATCACCGCTGCTTGTTGCAATAAAACAACATGGCGAACTTGAAGCTTGAGAATAATACTCCACAAACCAATGGACTTGTGAACATCCAACACTGATTAGGGTTGGAGGTGGACTTTGTCTGAATGAGCAATTTCCCGTTTGCCAAAAAAAATATACCAAGTTGGACTTTGATATTAAACACTTTTTTTCCTCCACCTACTCACATGGACATTATAAAGCAGATGTATGAGATCGGAGGCTAATTTACGTTCAAGATGAGAGGGTTTATACTACTGTGTTTGGTGGGACTCATTCTGGCAGACTCGGTAAGTAAGTGTGGTAAAATTGGGGGATTTTCTCAGATTGACTGAAAAGAATAACTTAAAAACTGCTGTTGCTCTGTACATTTTATGTGTTATTCTCTAACGTATTGCTCTAACCTACTAAACACACCACACTTTGTAATCAATTGAATTTCTGCAGCTTGTATTAGCTGAAAGGTAGTCTACATGAGTCCTTTAGATAGTATTTAGTGTGCTGTATATTTAACATTGTAGGATTGTTGCTTAACCAGCAGGTAATTGTTAGATACAGGCGGTAGAATGAGTGAATAAACTGGATTATTTATCATACTGCTGCTGTCTCTATGAAACAGCTTTGAAATCTAATGTCAATGACCTTGCAGTAACAGAATTAACAAAAAGGCAAAAAAGATATTAACAACCAATGTTGTGTCTCTAGTTTAAGGTTGTGTATTGTTTTAATTCAAGTGCTATATATTTTAATTTCAGTTGTCTGACAGAGGCACAGCGCCACCTCCAACTGAGAAGCCCAAAAAGCCAAAGGTAGGTGAAAAAAGTTGTGATTTTTAGCTCCAACATATGTTACAACTTGCCAGTAGACATCTTTTAAAAGCATCTTAAAACACATTTATTTTCTTCGGCTTTTTCTTTTATACCTCGTTTTCTTTCTGTCTCTTTTATCTCCCATTTTTTTACATTTTATTCTTCTAAAACGATAACAGGCTTTCTAGAACTGCCTATGCAAACCTCAGATAGCAACACTAAATCAAAATGTTAATGTTATTTCCTACCTGTTATCCAGCTGCCTCTCAGCTCCGCTGGCTTGACTAGTTTGCGAGTTATTTAAGGCGGGCCGGGTCAGCGCTCAAGTCTGTGGAAATATTGATTTTAAGTGTTGGTTTCACACCAGGAAAAAATGTTATTCCAAACAGACAGAACAAATCTGCGAGAACATGAACAATACCTTTGAAGATTCAACCAAAGTAACCTTAAAGCAGTGGTTCTCAACCTTTTTCTATCATTTATTAAACTGACGACCCCTGACTAAGCGACATATATTATGGATATTTCATATTATATTAAAAACTGTACAGTGAACCCAATTAGTGAACTCAGTCACTGCAATTAGTTTGTTTAAAATAAGTGATTTGGATTCATTTTGAGCAGATTATTTCCTGTTTAGGGAACTTTTCATACAATTCTCTGTCTGTATTATGTATTTTTAAATCATTTTTAACAATCATACAGACTTAATAGGCTTCATTTTTGACAAATCCAGTGTTTTCCTGTCCCTGACACTTGGCCATTGCTCTATTAAACAATTTACTTATACAAAACCTGAGATATTGGCCTATTATGTGTATATATATATATATATGTAATCTTTTAACACGCTTTAAAATCAACCCCCCACGAAGCTTTGGTCACCCCTAGTGGACTTGTTCTTAAAGTCTTTCTTCCTCAGGGTTGTTATTGTAGTCTTATCAATATATTCGTGTTCATCTTGTAAGTGAGCAGCACCTTGAGTTTGGTTAGCACTGCCACCTGGCGGCCAGTGGAGGAACTGCAGGAGGACGCTTAATGGATTTAGTGATTTAGTGCAATGGAAAATCTACAAACCTGAATTATATCAACACAACATGGAGGAAGTTTAGAGTTTGCATTAACAACAGAGTCAACAGCTTTTTATATAATATAATATAAACATCAATTACACCATCTGTGATCTATTGCAAATGTCTTTTCTACCTTGTTAAATTAAAGGAAAAGAAGAAATTTAATTAAATGTAGAATAAAATAAACCCAAATCAGTCTCTAATATAAGGCCAGTTTCTTGTCTGTTTATCTGCATTTTTGTCCATTAAAGTCATTAGCATTAACCTTCTACTGAGCACGTATATATTAAACAGCCAAAAGTATCTTATAAACTCAATGACAACGTGCTATCACAACAAAATGTTGATATATTCTGGAAAAAGTCATCAACATCTCTTCCCTTCCTGCAGTTAGTAGGCATCTGGCACCCTATGGAAAATGAGGATGGTTTTCCACCTGCACCAACTGCTGGAAACGTGACCCAGGTAAGAAACTATTCAGCACTCATCACGATTAACGTCGAGTTGCAAGCATTTAAGACCCAGTAGCACTTCAAATGTTCTGAATTTAAGCTGTATTACCCGTTTGTATTTCAGAGGAATCAAACAGAAGAAATACAGCAGAACAACTCAACAGATGGTGACACGTTGTTACACAAGAGCGACCTGGCCGTTTGATTATTCTGCTGGTGCCTCCTCCAAATAAACATTTCAAGTCTGTTTTGTGAGACTCTTATTTAATATGCTTGGTAATAAAAAAAAAAAAAGGTCAACTTTATCCACCGTTTGTCAAAAATCAACACCTACTCTGACTAAATGAGACGCCACGATAATTAAATGATTGATAGCAGGTTAACACAAGTCTGTTTTTGGCATTTTGCTTTATTTGGATAATGGAAAGATGACACGCAGGGTTTCGAACCTGCGATAAGGACTCAACTTTGATATGTGGTACTCGCTCTAGGTTAACAAAAAGGAAGCCTTTTCTGGACAAAGACACTTGTAGAAATCTCAATTTTCAACAGTTAAAGATTCAGACAAGACTTCATTCACAAGGATCACTTTATTTTTTGTGTTAGGCTCTTCTCTTTTCATCACAAATATTATCTACGTCCACCCAAAGTGTCCCAGCAGAGATCAACGCTCCCCGACATCTTTGATGGAAAAGGACAGAAACATAGAACATAAATCCAGTTCTTCACCTTTCTAAACATAACTATGCTTGTAGGAAAAACCCATTTGATCTTAACTGGGTGTACCACTGTTTTGTAAGTGGAAAGTACTCTGTTGGTCTGGTGACAGTTTGTTTTTACAGACGAGTAGTCGCTGTAACTCTCTGGAAGTTAACAAGCTACCTGTTCTACACAACTGCAATAAGGGCTGACACAGCACGTTTACTTATGAGGAAAAGCCTTGATTTAAAAAAAAAAAAAAAGTCTTAAAACTGGAGTTGAAACGTACCACTTTACAACAAATTATAAAAAGGTGTGAACTTAATATGGCATCCATATATTCAACCTCAACAAATATGCTCTTCAAGTGGTTTCCCGTCGTTTTTCCTTGTAACACCTGCGACCCTCTGCTGTCAAACCACAGTAAAGCAATTGTTACCAAAAGAATGGTTTTTGGGATTAGAAACGAGCTTTAATTTCTCTTTTGCTGATGTCTAAAAAAACAACAAACAAAAGACGAAAATAAAGTAAGGGCAGCAAAATCAAACAGTGGATATGAAAGACAGTTAGTAGATGTAATCATCAGGCAAACTACAACAGCACTACATTCTTGAACAAAAAGGATATTTTTTTTTCGTTTGTATACGTTTGTTATTTGTTTTTTGTCACAGAGTGGTGAGATCCAGAGGCAGGCAGCAGCCCGTGAGACAACAAGCAAAGTTCTCTTCAGATGACACAGCAGTTTCTATCAGTAAGGCCACTTTATATAGAAATTCTAAATGGAGGACCACAACCTATCGCTTCTTGTCCATAGATCTTTGCAGAGTGTCATAATCATGAAGCAAAAAAAAAAACAAAAAAAACAAAGCTTCAAGTTTCTAAATTAAAAAGAGCCTGATAGCCAGCTTGTACGGGGGGAGGGTTGGTGTTTGCCCCGTTCACCACCACAGCGGAAAAAAAAAGCTCAGTCCACATCGTCACCACCAGCTATACCGCTGAGGTAGTATCCCACTCCCGAAGCCCCAACCGCAACTCAAAAAAACCACCCCAAAATACCGTGTGCGATTGGGTTATAACGATCTTGCAAAAAAATAGATATTTTCACAGAAGTTTGTAAAATCATCTTGCCTAAAGTTATCTTCGATCCTCTGTGGCTTTATCGAAGCAAGTTGAAGTCCAGAGAAAAGTTGCGCCACACAACTGCTGCTCTGAGTACAATCCACAAAAGGACAACTACGTCGCCTTTTGTTGCTGCTGCAGTGTTGTACGTTTGGGTGAATTTTGCGAATTCCTTTTCAATTATTCCCTCTGTCAAGAGCCCCTTCAGATGCAGTCCTTCAGTTTTGCCGACCAAATGTATGTAAAAGTGTGTAACATTGATTCAAAGGGAGTGTCACTGTATGTGCTGCGGTGTCGTTGCTGTGTATGAGTGTGTATGAGGTTCTGTGTGTTTGCAGGTAACCAGTGTGGTGATGGTGGCAGCGTGAGCTCTGTCAGGACTGCACTCAACACAGCTGGAGTTCAGCTTCCTTCAAGGGGCTGGGCCGGACCATGCTGAAGGGGCCAGGGGGATGGAGGGAAGCGACTCTACTTGTCCCCCAGGATGGCGTATTGGTTGTCAAGCTGCAACTGCTGCATAGAAGTGCCACTACTCTCCTCTCTACCACGGTTCCTGTGTTTCACAACCTCAAAGGTCTTCTCCATTTCTCTATCCCTGAAACACAGACATGCACCGCTTCAGTCAAACTGCAACAAGACATCAACCTCACAAATATATGTACATATATGTGCGCGCACACTCTTAACCAAACCATTCTCACTTGAACTCTACTTACTTGCGTGTCTCCACATGCTTGGCGGTGGACAGTAGAGAGGGGAACTGTGCGTCACTGAAGATCTCAGGAGGCCCCGGGTTGTGAACTCGTTTGGTGGTGGACAGCCGAGCCCCTGGAGGGCGATATACGCCAGAAGGCTTCGACTCGGGCACCTCTACTTCCTCTGTAATTACAGACATGAGACCATGAAGAAGAAACACAAATTTTCACGAAAAATGAGCTGAGTCATAGCCTCCTATGACCTTACACTATCCCACAAATAGGAGATAGGTGGTTTACTCACCCACTGCAGGTGCAGCTGCAGGAGGCGGAGCAGCACCAGACTTGTTCCAGGGACCAGACACTTTGTCTCCGCTGACCAGAATGATCTCTCCATCCTCACCAAACTCCTCCTTCTCGTACTCCTCTTCCTCCTTCTCGTCACTGCAAACAACCGCAAGGCACGTGAGCAGAGGTGAACCCACGATGAGCTATCTACAATTTTATTTATTATTATTCGTATGTTGCACTAAAATCTGGGACAGAAACTATTATAAA